GGATTAGCCCACTAGCTCATATGAACATATGAGCCCAATGGTCCATAATGAATATGGGTCAATCTCATGATCACGGATGTCTGATAGTGTTTGAATTCTATTTTTTTTTCTATAACTTCAAATCACTTGAAATTTTAGGGGTGTGTTTATAAAAAATAGTTGAATCTTTGAAAAATATCAAAAGCATATTTTACATGAAAAAAATTGACCAAAATACCCCCAAAACATTTCGGGGGTATTTTGATCATTTTCACAAATACATTTTTTTATATTTTTATTAGGTACACCTTGATGAGAGGTACACACCTAAAATTTCAAGTGACTTTGATTTGTTGAAAAAATAATAAAATTCAAGAATTATCGAACATCCGTGATCGTCAGATCGGCCCAGATATATATATATATATATATATGGGAAAAACTAGGGTTTTCCCTCTCACGCACCCTGTTCACATATGCCAACGGTCTGGATAAAAAATCTGTTCGATGGACGGTCTTTAAAGCTTTTGGAAAGAACAACATTTTCCATTCAAAAAAAGAATTTTATAATAGCGTTTACACCTCGTATACTGAGCATTGACTCCTTTGAAATGGCACTGATAATTTATCTCCCTCTCTCTCTTCGGAACGACTTCTCTCTTCCTCTTCTCTCTCTCCATTCATTTACCCAAAAAGAAGCTCTTCTCTCTCTCTCTCTTCCAACAGAAAACACGACTGGGTCTTACCTACGCCTGGTTTCTTTCTCTCTCCAATCATTTACCAAAAGAAGCTCTTTCTTCTCTCTCTCTCTCTCTCTCTCTCTCTCCTCTATAGCCCTTCTCTCACTTGTGTTTGGTTTCTTTCTCTCTCTATTTACCCAAAAAGAAGTTCTTCTCTCTGTCTCTCTCTTCCACAGCCCCGTTCTCACTTGCGCCTAGTTTCTTCATCTCGCTCGAGCAGAAGAAACCCCTCTATTGCCTCTGCTCGGGCGGAAGAAACTTGTGCTCTTGTCGAAGAAAACCCTGCTGGCTGAGAAAAGCCCCTCCCTCGCATGTGCACCTGTCTCTCTCTTGCCCCTGCTCAAAGCCTGCTTGTCTGCCCTATGCCCCATCACTAAAGGTACTCTCTCTCTGTATTTGACCCAGATCTGCAGTCAGCCAAACCTAGTTCTTTGTATTCTACCTATGATTTCCATTTTGGATTGTCAAATTCCGATTTGGATTGGCAGTTTCTATTATCCCTCATGGGTGGTAATTTTATACACATTATCTTCCATGAATTGGCAATAACAAATGATAAATAATACAATCCCTCTAACTAATTGCCACCCTTTCGCTTTTACTTCCCATTTAAATGGAAAGCAAACTTCATTAGGGCATGTTTCATTGTGCTGTTGTGTAACAGGGAGAACTTTTGGTGTTTTGTTATGAGAAAATGCCTTCGCACCAATACTTTGTACGAACATTTAGATTTTGGGACATTGCATGTTTGATTGAATTCACCTCATCCTATTTTATTCTTGCTTATTATCTTCTAGCCCCCTTGTCTCCCTACCAACAACTATTTTTGTAACAACTAAAGGAAAGAAGCCCCACAAAAAATACCCAACAAACCAAATTTATTTATTTATTACATTTCTTCTTAGCTATCCGACAATACTAGATCCTCTCTGTTTCTTGGAGCCTCCACATCATTAAATACAAGCTTATGATGAATTGAAAGAATTTTCAATCCATACTTTCGAAAATTAGATTGCCCAAATTTAAAGCATCAATAGATTTTAACAGAATATGCGATCTAGAGAGAAGGAAAAGACCCCAAATTTGTTAGTGGACCTTAGAATGAATTGATTGAGAGAGAGAGATAGTTGGAATTGATTAAGGTAGGGGTGGCAATGAAAATTTGTTATCAACATTTTGATTTGTCAAAGGGGATGCATTGTGAAATGTATATTTTGTTATTTAAACAACTGAACATCTGTGTGAATGGGATCAAGACCAGGAAAAGGGGCATTTTTCTACACAGTTTCACCAAGGAACTGTCGTATGAGTGTTCATGACATGAATAGGTTTTTTAGCCATGTTCAATTTGTTTTTGCAAATCTAATGGCTTCAGGATGGTAATATGCTTGCCACTAGGGCAATATTTTGATGTTTTAAAAGTTTGCCTGCAATTTCATAGCCTTTGTGGCTAATATTTTGATTGTGTATGCAAAATTTAGTAGTGCACAAAATATGCTTTAAAAGTTTTTGATATGTTGCAAAAACTAGACATGGTTTCAGTCCCAATGGTTGTTGACCCAAAAAGAAAGAGATATTCATGATGATGAAATAAATTGGATGTTAAGTTTAAGGAATTTGGTTTATGTATCTATTATGAATTATGTCCTAAGCAAGAGAGATTACAAATTTCCTAAGCTCTGTTATGTTTATTTTTATATCATATGTTGTGTCCAAGTCCAATATCTTCATGTGGCATCTGATGCACCATATAGTATATCACTTACTCTTAGAAATTAGAATACGTCTATTGCAAAAATTTATTTATTTTTTCAATTGTGTATTTTTCCCTCATTTTTTTCCTTTGTTGCTTTATTGTTGTATTTTTTTTTTCAATTGGGTTTTTTTGCCCCTACTACATTGAGTTTATATTACAAGTATGTAGTATCTATTTGTTACAATTTTTGCATGTGGCAAGGTGGGTTGAGAAAAATAGGATTTGTATTCTTAACATTAAGGTTTGAATACATGTATTTTTATAGTTTTTAGTTTCATGTTGGGTAAGTCAAAAAACTGAGATGGATCCCACGAATTCAGTCAGTGTGACATCTAGCACATGCCCAATGTAGGCAGTATTGAAGAAATCCCAGATGGTGGTTGTGGCTTACCAAACATAGGCTAAGAAATAGAAGAACCATGTGTAGGATTGATGTTTGGATCAGAGGATGATGCATATGAGTTCTGTAAGTCTTATGCATTGACCAAAGGTTTTGGTATTCGTAGGGGGACTACTCATAATAAGGAAGGTAAACGGATCGACAGGGTTTATGTTTGCTCGAAAGAAAGGTATATACAAGAAAGACCTAATAAAGGTGGAAAGGTTTACCCTGAATTAAGGTGTTAGTGCAAAGTTAGAATGTGCATAAGTTGTCAAGAAGATGGCGAGTGGAAAGTGACTAGCAATGTTAAAGATCATAATCATGATCTACTTAGTCCAATAAATTCTCGTCTAATTCGTACGCATTGATCCTTGTCGAGTGCTACAAAGTTATTGATACACTCAATGAGTTCTGCAATGGTTAAGCCTAGACATATTCATGAAGCAGGCAGAAGGGATCGATAATGTCCCTTGTACACAAAAGGACATCCAAAATGGAATAGCAAGTGCTAAAAGAAAACTTAGAGGAGAAGATGGCAATTTAATTTTGCAATGGCTATAAAAGGAACCAATCAAACCCATCATTTTTCTATAGATTGAGATTAGATGATGAAGATCACATTCACAGTATATTATGAGTAGATTCTACATTAGAGTTTCCTACGAGTGTTTTTCTAATTTGGTTATCTTTGATACCACATATAAGACAAATACGTTTGGTATGCCCTTTGCAGTGTAAATCACTATTTCAGTACAACTTTCTTTGGACTTACACTCATATTTGATGAGAAAATAGAATCATTTATATGGGTATTTGAAAATTGGTTGGAAGCCATAGGTGAACGACAACCAAGTGTTATTCTCATTGATCAAGATCCTGCAATTTCATATGCAGTGAGACAAGTTCTTTACCAAAGTAAGCATCATTATTGTAAGTGACACATATTTGTGAAGATCAAAGAAAAAATGTGCCTTGTCTTGCTTATGCATCCTTCTTATTCAGATATCTTTACGAGGTGTGTGGCTAGCCCAGCAATTGAAGAATTTGAATCGAGATGGAAATCAATGATTGAGAATTATAAGCTGGAAGATAATGAATGACTAAGTAGGCTTTATGGTTGTCGCATGCAATGGGTTGATACATACTTGGCTGGCACATTTATTGCGGGTATGACCTCTACTCAAAGGAGTGAAGGGATGAATACACACTTCAAAACATACTCGACACCCATAACAAGCTTGCGCATATTATTAGAAGTAGTTGCAAAAGTCCAAGATAAGAAGGTGTGCAAAGAGAGTGAAAATGATTTGAAAGATATTCAAACTACTCCAGTATTGCGGACAACCATTTTCATTGAGTCACATGCATCAAAAATCAAAATCAAAATATTTTAAAGATATTTGGTGAAGAGGTGGCTAATTGCTTTAATTTTGCTAGGGAGATAGTTGAAGACAATGGATAGGTTGCTACATTTAAGGTGGCAGTCACGGGGACCGGATCTAGACCCTACTTAGTGAAATTCAGTTGTCATGACAATTCTGTTTTTTGCAGTTGCCACTTCTTTGAGAGGACAGGCCTTTTTTGTAGGCATTTATTGAAGATTTTTATGGTGAAAGATGTGTTTGAAATCCCTCCACAATATATAATGAAGCGTTGGACCAAGGATGTAAAGAAGGGAGTTTTTCTTGATGACATTGGGGAACAAATTCATGTAACATCTGAACTACCACGTTCCATTAGATATAATGAGGTTATGTCGGCAAGTCGATCCTTTGCCGAGCGTGCTTCACAAAGTGTAGAGGGCTATAAGTTTGTAATGTCCATAATACAAAATGAAATTTGTCAGTTTGATGAAAAGTTTGTGTGCAAGAGAGGTCCCCAAGATAATGCCATGAGCCATATCAATAAAGATAAACAATTCTGCTAGTTGTAGTAACACACCAAGTGGAAGTAACCATTGCTTCAATGTCCTTGAATCTACATGAGCACGGACAAAGGGACGATCAGCCAATAAAAGACTGAAAGCTTTTTCTGAGGGATGGAAGCCGAAGACAAAACAAAGAAAATGTGCAATCTGCAATGGCAATGGTCGTGATAAAAAGAACTGTCCATCGTTTGTTTTCTGCATGCTTTTACAGGGCTAAAGACAACGCTTCAGTTGAAATGCTAACATATAAATTTATCTTCTTCTTACAGAGCTAAGGACAAAACACATCGTAATCTTCGGACCCATAAAAAGGCAGTAGATGTGCTACAATAGTAAGTTCAACTTTTTAAATTCATTTTGAAACATTTTTATATGCATGTAAGTTCTTATCTGTAATTTCATTTGTAATACTATTGTCACTCATCATAATGAATTTTATGTCTCAGACAGAGAGGACAAATT